GAATTATACAAAAAGATTGCCGACAAAAAAAATAGCACGGGTCAATTTAATCTTGGTATTTGCTACTTATACGGGTACGGAGTAGAGAGAGATTTAGAGAAAGCAACTTATTGGTATCAAGCGGCAGCAGATAAAGGAAATATGTACGCACAGAATTATTTAGGTAAATGTTATGAAATAGGAGCCGGCGTTGACGTTGATATTGTCAAGGCTTTTGAATTATATATGAAATCAGCGCAACAGGAATATGGTGACGCACAAAAAAGTGTTGGCGTTGCCTATGAAAAAGGTCAAGGTGTAGAAAAAGATTTGGATAAAGCAATCTATTGGTATAAGAAGGCTGCCGGAAATGGATGTGAAGAAGCTCAGGAAAATCTGGATCTCTTATTGAGTCAATCTTCCAAATAAGGTTTTTTCTTTTTTAATGATCAATTTATTTTTCCAAATATTTAAATATTTAGTATTTTTTTTTATAATTTCAAATTTAATTTACAAATCTACTGTAAAATAGGCTTTTCATATATAGAATAATACTTCATCCTTTTATTTAGTATATATATAATGTGTTTTTTCCTAATGATTACTATTGTCTAATAAAGAACGTTGCTAGATGTCAAATTATTGGTTCTTCATAAATATATTACGCACCGATGTGTGTATAATTTTTTTTTTTAATTCCCCTTATGTGTCACGGGACTGAAAAAATCTTAATGTTATTGCATTCCATTCGCAAATAAACTTTCAAAAAGCTTAACCTTTCGCAAAATATTTAAGTTTTTATTTTTCCATTTAATGTTCGTTACTGCCACTCAGGCTTCTTCTATCCTTGGTGTTTCTTGTGTACACTTTGTCGCTGGCAGCGTAACAGTAAAATAACAGCATTTCGTTCACCAGGTGGTGTGCGACTTTATGATGTCTCAAATATTGTGGATTCCACCACCACCACCACCACCACCTCCACCGCCACCAAAAAAGGGTTCCTCTATGCACGGGTCTCTAGTGTCAAGCAAAAGAGGATCTTGAGTGGCAGAAGTAAGTCCTCAGCTCCTGATTCCCAACCTATGAACTCGGCTCAGGTGTCAACTTCAAATGACCGGGACTTAAGACCTTATTGGAACGGACAAGTCGCGGAATGGTCTCGGAAATTGTGGTTACCCATTATGACCGACTCTGCCACTTCGCCTTTGAACTCATCCAGTACATACTCTCCCTCCATACTACAAAACTCGTTCTCTTCGACGATGCGACCTCTGATGAAAATGGTGCTCGGGGAATTTTTCTCCGGGCTTTGCTTGATGGAGCCTTGATTCTCTCCGGGGATCATGCAGGAAATAATAGTAATACTTAGTATTACCTATTTATTGATGTATTACAATCCATCCGCTAGTCTAATTTGCGAAATTATAACATTGTTTACGCACACATCGCTGGCACCATTGATAATGACTTCTCAACTGTGCACACTTCATGCAAGTTCCATAATCAAGTTTTGGAATAGTTTCCTTATATGACTCTTTTTTTTTAAACCAAATTTACACAAGTTTAATATTATTTTCTTGTATATTTAGATGAAAAAAGTTATCATACCTTCGACTAATTCTAATTCATGTTGCGACAGTTTTACATCGAGATTGTAAGGATCTTGCGTCATCAATGAATCAACAAGTTCCATAATCTCATCTTCTATTGATGCAGAATCATATGTTTGTTGCATCATCATAAATAATAATAATAATTAAATATTAGATATTTTATAATACAACTAATTATATTTAATAAATAAAAGGATATTAATTACAAGAGGAAAAACAAAATAGTTTTATCCACATTGGGTTCGTTGTGTAACGAATCGAGTAAAATAGGTAAATGATGCAAAATTTTCCATTTTTGAACTGACGATCAGTGCAAAAGTATTGGTGTTCATTTTAATTAGATAACTTCCCGCCAAGCCCCTTTCGCATGACTTTGTAAAGTAAATAGTAACGGAAGCCAAATTCCGGCAGTAGTATAATTTGATTGAGGTTAGAAGTTTTTTTGGTTTTTTTTTTTTTTTTTTTTTGATTTTTTTTCAATACGATTCTTAATTTTAATTTTTTTTTTTTTTTTTTTTTTTTTATGCGTCGTTTTTTCTGATACAAATAAATTATTTATGCATATAAGAACGGGATCGAAATAAAATGTATATTCCTTAAATTAGCCTCTTTAATTTTAATAATCCATATATATATATATTATAATAATATAAAACAAAACAAAAAAATTTTTTAAAAAAAATGAATATATAAAAGAATATATACAGTATGTATATATATATAACTATAATAATAAATAATAAACATGCAACTAATAAAAATAGCCTTTATTATAATTTTACTCATTTCATCGATTTCGGCACAATGTTTTCATCACCCGAATAATATCTATGCATCATTAGAAATTGTGGAATGTAATTGGAATTCCGGCTTAGATGTCACGGATACGTCATCACATCAAGAAGCGTCGGAAGAAATGTTTCAAGTACAATTTAATTGTGAGATTGGTGATAAAGTAACTTGTGATAAGGTACTTGGACAATTTAAGAAGGCGGCAAACATGATCACGTCAACATTTATATTCAATACACCTATTAAAGTGAACGTCAGTTATTATGATTTTTGCACAGTGTATCCAGCAAATTTGTGCGGGGATTTATCAGGAGCGGCGTACCCATCACAATTTTACGCATTACAAGATGATGATGGCTTAACTCGATTGTATCCACAATCATTAGTAAAACAATTCAAATTTTCTAATGCTCCAAAATATAATGAATTTGATATCAACGCGGAATTTAATTCGGTGTCGAATTTTTGGTTTGAACAAGATTCCATAAAAATAAATCCTGATCAAGAAGATATTTATTGGACAATTTGTCATGAATTGATTCACGGTTTAGGATTTTATAACAGATGGATGGGATATCAAATAAATCCAATAGCATTAATCCCAACGACAGCATTAATAAATCCTGATGGGAGCGTTCCTAGAAATAATTTATTTAATACGAATTCATCCTTTGTTGAATTTATGATGGACAAGTACACAATATTACTTTCCAATGGTACTCAAATATCCCTATTCACTCGACAATTAAACACATTCTTTAATGATCATAAATCAAGCGTTTTTAACGATGTGTTTATAAAGTCACCTCAATTTAAATTCGCTCAAGAATTATTGGTACTTGCTACCACACCAAATTCTCTTGGTCTATTACCAAGGAATTCAAGAAATTTTCTCTCCGATGCTTTTATTTTAGAAACTTCTATGCCTACTTTTGAACAAGGAACAAGTTTGATTCACGTTGATTTTAAAACTTATATAAATACGAACGATTTTTTAATGACTTATAGATCAGTTGATGGGAATAATGCCAAACAAATGGTATTAAATGGCGGGAATTATTCTGGTGGTCCGATAGGACCTAGATTAAAATTAATGATGGAAACTTTCGGGTAAGCGAACGCTAAATTGACCGTTTATGGTGAAATGAAATCTTAATTCTTATTTTCGCTTCAAATTGATAGATATGCTACAGCTGAAAACCCAAATCCGTATAAACCGTTGCCATTTAAGCCATCTCCGACTCCTGATGTAACATCAAAGTCAAATGAGACTATTAATCATAACGCAAGCTCTGGTTGCACGTATTTTATAATAAGTAACCTCAACATTTTGATGATTTTTCTTATATTTATATTTGATTGGACCCTGACATAAAATTCTTGTTCTTTTAATAAATTGCATGCAATTTATTGTGACTTATTATTCACCACGAGTTTTTTAGCATATTATATATTAATTATTGATATTGTGATTTTGAGCTCCCTGTACAATAAACAATTTCCATTTAAATGCAATTTTTATCATTCGTTTTACTAACATCTTTTGGTTAAGGTAATCAAAAAAATTTTTTTTTTTTTATGTATTATAAATTCGCAACTTTATACTTAAATTGGTCGGTTAGGATTGAGTTAACTCCAAAGTGTATTGGAGTTTTCATACTTAACACTACATCATTATAAAATGGTTTCAAATTGAACTTTATTTCTATAATTACTTAACTAAATAGTCATTCTGAGCTTTAATCTTTAAAACCAAAACAATACATTAGATACAAATATTAATACGTCTTTAATCGGTCATGAAGCAAGTAGTTTCACTTGTGTTTCATTTTAATTATTAAATTCCGACAAAAAGAATTTTAAAGTATTTTAACCACAAGAATTTTAGTATGTTGTTAATATTAATAATAATAATATAAAAAAAAAAGGTACACAATAAAATAAAATATTCTTATATACTAATTAAATACTTATTAATCTAAAACTTACTCGCTTACTCGTAATCGTAAAAAAACTATGGATCGAGTCAAAAATTTGTTCAAATTACACAATGCATTATAAAAATTTTTTTAAAAAAAAAATCTATGACGCTAAGCGCTAACCGGATCTAAAAAAAAAAGTCATTTGCTTGCTGTCCTATTAAACGAATGTTTAAAAATATTACGTCACCAAAAACGTACAATTTTACGATTCATTCGTGATGATCTCAAGTTTGATAGCAAACGACCTGTACCTGTATCATTTCAATATAAATAAAATATTACTGACATTAATGATTTTGACAATATTTAAAATTATCCCTGTAAAAAAATTTTCAATGTTTTTTTTTTTTATTGGGTATTATTTTTGAATATCTTCTAATTACCATGCTTTATTTCAAAAAATTATACCTTTCAAAATACAGAAAAAACTACGTATTATAATATCAGTAGAAAAGGGGAAATCCACTTTTTAGTCAAATTTTTTTAATGGTTCACTCTCCTGATCATGGTCATGTGAACAAAACTAGTTTAATAACTAAAATTACTCAAAATTTGTAGATTTTCCCCTTTTCTATTGACCGCCCCCCATATTTTATAATACATTATTGAATTTATAAATTATTTTAGGCAAGGTACTAAAATTATTCCAAATATAGTTGTTGACAATTTTTAATTTTAATTATTTATTTTAAAAACAAAAAATACTGGATAATTTATAAAATGATACAAAGCTATTTTGAAATAAGTAACATTTAAAATTGGTTTGCGCCATGCGAACCTTTAAATATAAATTTACAAATCTACTAAACTATCAGCAACTTATTTATATAATTCAAGTACTTATTCCTCATTAATCTTTATTTCTATACCTTTATATAACAATATCCAAGTTTAAAAGATACATTTAAATCACCATATTCTGTAATTTAATTGTATAAATCAGATGCTGTATTTAGCACTAATTTCTGTTTCAATTCCTTTTTCATAATAATATCTAGGTTTAAACATAGAATCCAAATAATTATTTCAGCCTTTTCAGCTGCTTCTTTATAACATTTAATGATTTTCTATATTTAACTTCAGTACAAATTCCTTTTTCATAGCCATTTTTAGCACCATTTTCATAAAATTTAAATACATTTTCCTTATTAGTATGTTTAATATCATATCCAATTACTATTTTTAAATGCTTTTATTTTATTAATTTCAGTTTCAATTCCATATTTATAACATTTTCTGTGTTGAGATTATGCACATACAAATTCATTTTAGCTAATATTTTTATAATATTCAAAAGTTTTATTTTAATACCAATTTCTTTTTATTTTAATAGCTTATATTTATATTATGCAATTCTATTTTCACTTTTTACAGCTTTATGATACTAATAAATAGTTTTTTCTCAACCCTTTTTCTATACCTTCAATATTTTCAATCCTATCCAATTATTATATTGTTTATTGTAAACTGTAAAATAATCTATAAAGCTATTTATAATAATAATTAATTAGTATTTTTTTAATTTATTTGAACTTTATAATATTTAATTAAATTTTTTTAATTATTTTGAACTGAATTATTTTCTTCTTCAACTGCTATTTAATATAATACTTATGCTTTTATTTTATTAATTTCAGTTTCAATTTTCTTATTATAACAATTTTTAAATTAAAATGTCTCATCAATAAATCTATTTTTATCTGATTTTTAATAATATTCAAAAGCTTATATTTATCTTTTTAACAACTTTTTCAGATTTATAATAATTATCCATCATATACTATACAAACTTATTTTTATTTTTCACTACTTTTTAATACTAATAAATAAATAGCTTTATTTAATTTTTCTCTATACCTTTACCACTTTTATAATATAAAACTAAAATATATTGCATAATATTATTATTATTTTCTGCTACTTTTGATATTAATATAAAACTTTTTTTAAATTATAGCTTACTTTACAACATACAAATTTTCCATTAATTTAATAATAATATTTATTAAAATAAACTTATATAATTGAATAATTATTTTCCTTTGCTTTTAAAAATAAAAAAACTAAAAATATTGTCTTATTTTAATTTTGTAATAACTATTTTATAATTTTATTAATAATTTAATTTTCTTATATTATTTGTTAGATTATATATTATTAAGAAAAATTAAAGAAAATTTATTTTTTTTAAAAAATAATACATTTATTATTTTAATAAGAAATAAAGTATAAAACAATATAAAGTTTATAATAATTATATCAGATTTATTTATTTATATTATAATTTTATTATTTGTCTATTTTTCATTTTCAAGTAATTTTTTTAAGTAAATTTTTTAATTTAAAAATCAATTTAATAGTAAATTTGTAATAAATAAATATTTTTTAATTTTTTGATAAATATATTTTTCATATAATTATGCAATAATTATTATATTATTTATTAGTATTTTATTAAATAATTATGTAATTATTATTATAATAAATATATAATTTAATCTTAATTATAAAGAAAATTAATAAAAATATATATTATTAGAAAATAAAAATGTCAAAAGATACAAAAAAAATTATATTAATTGGTTAAATAAATTAATTTCTTATAAATATATTTAATTCTATTTATACTTAATTTTAATAATTAAAGACAAATAGAAAAAGTAACTTATGAAAAAAATCTTTTTTACTAATTTAAAAATAATTAACTTTATACTTTAAAAATTTTAATAAAATTTAAGAAACTTTAAAAGAAATTATAAAAAAAGTATATATAATATTATTTTATTAATAAATCTAGGTAATGAAAACTGTTGTAATATTTAAAGCATTAATTTATAATATTTAATTTATTACAGAAAAATAATTCTTAAATTTAATTTAAAATAATTACATCTGAAAATCAGATCATACAATAATATAATAATATACTTTATTGGTCAGTTACATATATAAATAAATAAATATTGTATCAAAATAAGTCTAACTAAAGAGATTTTTAGTTATACTTCAAATAAATAAAAATTTGTATTATAAAACATTATACAATAGTAAATCCTAATAAGTATTAAAAATATATTATTATTAATTTATAAATATTTATTATTTTAAATATAAAATTTTTATATATTTAGATATACTGTATATTTTAATTTAATTATTTTAAATCAGTATTTTAACAAAATTAATTAGGATAATAAATATCTGACAAATATTTATTAATATAATAATTAGTAAATACTATAAAATCTTTATAAGATAAAGATATTATTTTATTAAAATTTAATAATATAAGATAAATTATTAATATTATTTTACTATAATTGTTAAATAATTAAATAATATATTATATATCAAAAAAATATTAAATTAACAAATTTTATTATCAAGAAAATTACTAAAATATTGAATAATATATTAAGAATATTTGGTATAATTTTTTAGTTTAAGTACTTTTATTAAATTTTTGTATATTACTTTCTTACTTTCTCTTACTTTTCTTTATTTATATTTAAATCCAAAATATTTCAATAATAACTAAAGCAATTATAAATATTAAAGTTATAAATTAAATAAATATTTAATATTAAAGTATTTATATTATAAATTTCAAGTAAATATTAATTGTTTAATATTGTCATTTATAATATAAGTTTATAATAAAAAATAAAAGAAAAAAAAATTATATCAAGATAAATTAATGAAAATACAATATTTCTTTTAAAAAAATATTTATTTAAATATAATATTATAAATATAATTTACTAATTAATGATTTATTTAACTGACAAACTTTTTGCTGATAATTATTTCACTGATATAATCATTTTAATGATATGTTTATTTTACTTATAAATTTTTTACAAATGATCATTTTATTGATATTTCAAAATAAAAAATATATTTTTAAGTTAAAAAATTATAATAAATGCTATAATTTATATATTTCAATAAATTTGATTATTTTATTCTAAAATATTTTTATTTATTTATTAATTGCTATCTAAATTAATATATAATATTAATAAAATATATAAATTCTTATAAATAACATATGACTGTTAAATTATAAAATTCCTTTTTTTTATTATTATAATCTTTAAAATATGAAATTTATTTATTTTATTTTTCTATTAATGATTAATTTATAATGTAAAATTTGATAAAAAAAAATATAAATAAACTGTTGATAATATGATTGTATTGATAAAATAATACTAGTGGTAAAATATCTATTGGTAAATTACTATATTAGTAAAATAATTGTGCTAGTGAAATAATTGTCAGTAAAACATTTTATTAGTAAAATAAACTGAAATTATAAAAATAGATTAAGTAAATATTAAAAATGACGTTGCAACTAGTTGCAACTATATGATGCTTATTTTTACAAGGTTGTAACTAGTTGTGATATTAATAAAACTAAGTTGCAATTAGTTGTAACTCTAAGATAAATAAGCATTATATAGTTGCAACTAGTTGCAGCACTATCTTTAGTAAATATCTATATAGTTCTTAAAATAATAATTTTTCTCAAATAAATTGTAATTATTAAAAATATTAATAAAAAACAAATTTATATAAATAAATTTGATTATAAAAGAAGTATAAATTATAATTTTAATATTGATATGTTAAATATTGTTAATTTAAATTTATAAAAATTAGAGTTTATTGAACTATTAAATTTATTTATAAATAATTTAATTATTTTATAATTAGAAATTTAATAAAAGCATTTTATTTAATATTAAATAATATATTATTTAGCAAAATAATAAGTTATATAGAAGGTTTTCTAAATAAAATTTGAGTTTTAATATTAAATTAATTTATTTTTATAAGTTTTATATCAAATGATTTATTAAGAAGTTTACTAAAAAAAAATGATTTTGAAATATTATTATATTGTAAACGGATAGATGTGATGCAACTTATATAGCGCAGAAGATCAACTGATTTGACATAACTGACATATATGACATGTCAGACATATGTAATATATGTAATATAGTTAACATATTAGACATAGTTGACATAGTTGATATATTAGATATAGTTGACATATTAGACATAGTTGATATATTAAACATGTTAGTTATATCTTTCTATGTAAGTTATTTTATATAAATAGGTAGCTTTTAGTTTATGCAAAAAAGAGAGACAGATAAGAATTGGATAAGATAGTTTTAGTGGTTTTAGAGGCAACAGGCCTATCGTGTCACTTTTTAGTTTTAGTATTTCGTTTCTTTTTTCTTTCTTATTTTTATTCTTTATTTTCTTTTATTTTTCTTTTTTTTCTTCCTCTTTATTATTATTTTACTCGTAAATAAACACAATATTTACAAATATACACTACTGGTAATCCATTGAATCGTAATTTATTACGATAATATAAATACTTTGATAAATCATCTGAGTTAAAGCTTGTAAATTATTGAAAGATTACTGCTCAATTAAAAAGAATAAATCACTCAACATCCCATCTAACAGTCGTAGTTCACAAGAATTACACGTTAACAATATCAAAGATTTTTTTATTATTTTAAATAATTATTTCTAATATTTTAAATATATTTTTTAATAATTTTATTTTTTAAAAATTTAAAAATAAATTTAATTATAAATATAATTAAATTAATTAAAATTTTGATATAAATTTATTCAATATTTAACTTTATTTATTTTAATGTAATAATATATTATAATTACTTTTTTTTAGCAAATATTTATAAGAAAATCATTTGTATTATATCAAAATATTTATTTTTAATTTTAATAAAAATTGGTCAACATTACTTTAATATTTATAAAATATTTCTTTTAATATTAATTTAATAAGTTAAATAAAATATTATTTTAAAATTAGATTACTTAAACCTTTTATAATATTTAATTTTAATATTAAAATTATTAATAATTATAATATTATGTAATAAATTATATAGTAATTCAATCAGCTATTATTTTATAAAATATTAAATCTTATTAATCATTTTCTAAATAGTATATTAATCATATACATTACTTTTAAATTTGCCTTTTATATTTACTATATAAATATTTAAATGCTAATTATTCATTTTTATATTAAGTTAAAGTATAATTAATTAAAGTTATTATATAATAAGATTAATAAAAAATAAATATTTCAATTTTAATAAAAAGATCTTTAAAATTTTATTTTCCTAAAAACTTTTTATAAAAAATTATAGAATGATAATTAAAAAATTAAAATACAGTCAGAACTCTTTATAATGAATCATCTGTTTCAGTAATATTAGATCATTATATTAAGAGTTTGAAACAATAAGTTTTTTTATATACTGATTTAAATAGAAAAAAGTATAGTATTTCAGTATATTGTAAAATTTGTTATAGTATAAGATAATCTATTTATGTAATGTTGAAATATGGAATTCATAAAAATTGCTAGAGCTATATGTTAATATTTAAATTCAATTTTATCTTTCAACATGTTAAGATTATAAAAAAAGTTTTAAAGATAACATTAATCTGCTAACTTGTATTTTATTTGTTTTATATAGTTATAATAGAATAAAAGAAGGTGTTAAATAACTTAGAATAGCAAAAATAAATAAGAATTTTAATAAATCAAAGTTTTTTAATATTATGAATAATTTTTTGCTATTTTTGATACCAGTTTATTTCTTTTTTCTTTTTTAAATTTAAATTATAATTTACTTATATCAATATTAATTTATTAGATTCACAACTTATTATATTCATTACATTTATTAAATTCGTGATTTATTATATTATTTATTGAATTTGCACTTTGTTACATTATTTTGTTTTATTATCAGATTCATATTTTATTATATTATATTTATTTAATTAATTATTCATTATTATATTAATTATAAAAACAAAAAAAATTATTATTTAAAAAATAATATCAATTATAATATTAATTAAAATTAATAAATTCATCTATATTTAATTGTGTTAAAGATTCTGATTTATATCTTAATACCTTATGCCTAATAATCTTTAAAACTTTTAATTCTTCATTAATTACATCAAAATTTTCAGGTTTAAAATTATGTAAATTAATAAGATTTTTCATATTAATTAACGCTTCTGTTATAAAGATATGAAAAATAATTTCTTCTTTATTTTATAAATTATCTTCTATATCTGAATTTAGTCT